GTGGGTTGCTAATACTTTCACTAATATTTTACCCAACTGGTTCATTAGTTAAATTGTTCTCTGAATTTGATGGGGCTGTGATAATTCCACTTCATTACGCTCGAATGCTATTAAGGCTGTTGTAGCTGTCCTGGCACGTGGCCTGCTTGCTCGGCCGCGCTGCATTCTTGTTGGTAACAATGCCACCATTCAGTCCGTCTCTGGTTTCTCATTCCGTGGCACATCTCTCTGGCACAGGGCCTTCCACCTTTCCCTCCTCTTTTCTTCCATCACTGTCTGTTTTTAACCCTGGGCATTTAAAACCACTGTGGTAGCACGGCCGGCGTAAGAAACGGTGCTGCTCCTCTGTCACCTTCAGCAGCAGCAGGGATCCCAGATCCTGGTGGAAGCTGTGCTACTGCCTACCGCCTCCCCATCAGAGCACTTGCATGGTGCAGGACAGTTGCTCGAGCCTGTTTAGTTCCCTTCTTCAGCCAGACTTTAAGCGACTTTCTCCCTGCTTTCCATTGAGCAGTCGTAAATCAAAGGGACAAAGCCCCCTGTTTATTCAGTTTGTTTTCTCTATGGACTAAGACCTGTTGTGTTTGCAAAATACCAAGAACTGCTATTCCCATGACTTCCCCCACCTCTCTGTCCTGGAGGAAATATGCTTTCTTTTCTTTGCTACATGCTTTCTGCTTAGTGTGACCAATTTAATGATTTCCACCTCCCTCTTGCTTTGCCCTCTTGTCCTCTCAGGCCCAAAGCTAGGTAAACAGCAGTGGGAAGGCTAAGCGGGGCATCACAGATTTTAGTTCCAGCCTTGCATTTGGTTCCTGAGATTGTCTGTCTGGGCAAAAGTATTCCTCTGTGTGGAGACAGCTGTTTGCCACCCTGAAAATACAAAACACAAGATCGCTGGTGAGGTGCGAAATATCAGGTGCAGTCTTCTGAATCTTACACAGAGCTGAATGAAACGTCTGGAGTTTTTAACCAGTGAAATAAAACAGAGCCCTTTGATGGTAGCAATTACAAGTCCAGAGTAATGTGCTGGTGATTTGTTATAATGTGTGTATAAAGTCCAAAACTGCAGGCGTCAGAAATGTGCATTCTGCAGTCTTCAGCTGTCTCCCAGCTCCCACGATGTGCCTGGCACATGCCAGCAGCATCGTGGTGGAGAGCCACAGGGACGCTGGGCACGAGCCAGAGGGGTGAAGACTGAGCCATGGCTGTAGTTCGCCTTCGGCCTCAAGAGTCTTTGCCTGGGAACTCCTTCTGCCGAGGAGTGAAATGCCTGTTTCGTTAGCGAGCCTCTGTGGTGCATTCCGTCACGGGCCTGGGATGGTAATAAGTTTTCCTCGGAGGAGAGAAATGTTGCTGCTGCCTGCAGGGCTGTTTGAGAACCTGAGCAGAAAACGTGAGTAATTTTTAAATAGTTCTCATCAAGCTTACGCAATGTTGGCTTCGCTTCTGGGCAGTAGCCTCTGTGGCCATGTCAGTAGGTACCTCAAAGGCTGGAGTCCAAAGCAAGGGAGCCGTCTATCCACATCGATAGGTAGCTGTGCTGCTCACGGTGCGAGCTGCGTTGCTTAATTTTCAGCACCCTTGTTTGAAAATTTGCAGTAGTTCTGTGCCCCCGGTGATGTATTTGTCAAACCCTGCTACAGTTTGTTGCTTGGCTTGGGAGTGTTACCCCTTCAGCCTTGGCACATTTCTGCAGAAGCACAATGCTAAACCTCTGCACTTTCTGCTGAACTCCTAATTGAATGCGCTTCAGTGTGCGGATTACAGCACTGTGAGACGGCCAGAGCAGATGCAGGCTGCTTCTTGAGAGCTTTTCATACCCTCCGATGAGAAGGAGCTGACACTGCAGCAGGAACTCAGAAATCAGAGACCTGTGCAATGAATGCTCTTAACCCTACTAACCCCGAGACTGATCTCATACAGCAGACTTCCGAATGTGCTAAGCTCACTCAATGCTACGTTTCATAATTCATGAGCGTGAACAATATTAGCAGGCTGTAGGTTTTGAACCGTTCTGACCTTTGTATGCTCAGACCCTCCTCCTACCAAAGGGCTTGCATCGGTTGGCAAGAAGCCTTTCATATGGGCTATTTAAGAGAGGAAAAGGGAGTGCAGGGAGCAGAGGGAGATTAGGGGGGCTGCAGCATTGCTGAAAAGATCTTTTGACCTGTCCAGCCTATCACTTGCATTGTGGTGAAGATTATAAAGATGTTTTCAAAATGTGCTACAATTTAAGCTCATGAGCGTATATAACATTCACTCCAAGTTCTCCATCCGTTCGTTTTTGTATAAATAGTAAGTCGTTATGCCCGTGTATCCATTACAATCCCCATTTATGGATGGGGAAACTGAGGGGATTAATGCTGTGTCTCATCAAGGTTACATGAGAAGGCTGTGTGACACTGGGCATGAGGAACCTTGAGAGCCGGCATTGTGGCACTGTGCTTGAACATCTCTGGGTGCGCTTCTGTTTTTGAAAAAATAACTCCATCTGCTAAAAAGCACCAAGAAAGTTTTATGCATACACTGGCTGGCAAAATTGCAAATACTATTTCCTTCAAGTCGGTGTTCTGTTTTAGTAGCTCTTTATTTTTTTAAACTGACTAATTCTAGTTAAAGCGTGAGATATGCTTCCTAAAAGTTACATCAGCTAAAATTTTGGAATTAACTCTATTAACTATGTTTTTCCATAGCATGGAGAAAATACTTCTGAGACAGATTGTATATTTATTAAATCATTAACCTAAAATAAAAATCTCAACACCTCAAATAATTCTTGTTGCCACCATTACACAGTGTTCACTGCAGAATGTAGATTTGTTTATGCTATAGGAGTGGCACACTTTTTCCCTTTGAAAATGTTACAGAGGAAGAAGGGCCCAGAAAACAAATGCAAACCCTGATCATTCTGTGGGAATAATTATCCCAGTGAACACGGGGGATCCGGTTCAGTTCTTTGGCGCTCTGGTTTTACACTGGTGTAGCTGTGTTGGCAGAGAGGCAGTGCCTCGGGTGTGTGAGCCAGTCCTGGCTCCCTGACACACGGGATCTCAGATGGAGCGCCGTCATCAGAAGTTGCACCATCCAGCTTTTTTGTGATGGAGTGCAAAAACTGACTCGCGGCAGTGTTTTGTAAACACTGGTTTCTGAGCAGCACCAGTTTCCCTCTCCAGACATCCTTCCTCTGCACTGCTGCAAGAAATGGGAAGATAATTGGCTTCCAAAAAACAAGTGTATTGGAACAGCAGGACAAAAACATGTGGTTGTGAAAACTGCTCTGTAGGGGTAGATGACTGCGCTTAAAGGAAGCCCTGCTCAGCTCATTCACATGTGGTGGGAGTAGAGGAATATTGGCCTGTCCAGAACAGCTTGTCTGTCACTATATGTTGCATTAAATAACCAGACTGACTAGGATAACTGTGCTCATTGAGTGGGAAAGGAAGCACTTATTCTTCCAGCTGGACTCCAAGTCTCCCTTGAGAGGTAGCGCTTATAAAGAACATCCGTTACAAGTTAATGCTTTAAAAGTTAGTCAAATTCAGCAACACCCCTCCCCGCTAAAGTTTCCTCATCCAGCTCTTCCTCCACAGGAGGAAGGTTTCAAACAGAGCTCAGTAGAGGGTTTCTCGGTTTCCATAGAGCTGCTCTTGGATGCATAGAAAACTGGTGCTTGAACCAACACCTAGAAGCTTGTTTTCTAGCAAAATAAATACTGCATTCTGCCACCTTTTCTCAAAGTCTCCTCATTTTTTAAAAACTTACAAATCAAGCATCAGATGCTCTTGCAGGAAAGGTAGAGGCTGAAATGACTGTGTTTTGGACATATTTCTCACCTCTTTGCATCTTCTATGGCCTCAAGTTGCGCCAGGGGAGATTTAGACTAGATATTAGGAAAAATTTCTTTACTGAGAGAGTGGTCAGACATTGGAACAGGCTGCTCAGGGAAGTGGTGCAGTCACCATCACTGTAAGTATTCAAAAAATGTGTAGACATGGCACTTCAGGTCATGGTTCAGTGGGCATGATGGTGTTGGTTGTTGGTGATGGTTGGACTTGATGGTCTTAAAGGTCTTTTCCAACCTTAATGATTCTGTGATTCTTCCCTGTCTCCCTCGTCTCCTGAGTATCTAACATGAGATATTTCTCTCCACTTACAGGGCTCAACCTTTATTTTTCCTCTTTAAAAAACTGTCACAGGTGCCGCTGAGATGGTAGTGGTTAGCCCTGTTTGGGCACTAACCTTGTTGCAGGAGCCAAGCTGAGCGACTAAGCCTTCAAAACCTGAATTTGCTCTTGTTGTTTCCTGTCTTGCTCAAGCTGGCCATATTCTTGTCTCTTCTGATCTTTCAACTGCAAGTTCCTGGGGACCAGGAAGGGTCTTCTGTTGTTGCAGTATTTTGGCAGTGTCTATCACCATGGGATTCTGGCCCATCATTAGGGTTTGTGATGTAGAAGTGACACAAAACAGAAATAATCTCAAATTCATTAACTTCTTAACAGGAAAAAAAAGTACTTTTTTAGTTATATAATTTGCAAATGACAATCTTGGGATGTCTAAAATGTATCTTCAACTGTAGGTGTCAATGTACAATATCAATGTTTTCTTTTCAAAACACGTAGGTTGATTGCTGCTTTTCTTGACACTGCCATTTTTTGCTACCATATGTTCTCCTTTTGCAAAACCTTTAGCACTGTTAACTTAGCTTAATGTAAACAGATGATGCTGCCTCTTATATTCCAAAATGCTAAGGCCGTAGAGGCACCACCTGAAATTGTGCGTGTGTGACTGGTCTTTCCTAACTGTGCTGGAAGTTCTGCCTACCCCACCTTGTCTTCCAGTTGCTTCAGAAGGAAAACAGATGAGGAATTTCCAGTGCTAGACAAAATGGGGATATGAAGAAATGTGATGCCACTTGGCGGTTTGGGTTCTGTTGGTGTCTCCAGAAGGCCAGGCTTGGCCAGGCTCTTCATCTCACACTGTGTCTCTCTTGCAACTAGGATGTCAATGCAGGTGAGGGGAGCGAGTTCACCGACAGTGGGATCGAGGGAGCAGCCACCGACACTGACCTCCTGTCTAGACGCTCCAATGCTACCAACTCAAGTTACTCCCCGACGGCCAGTCGGGCTTTCATTGGCAGCGACAGTGGGAGCAGCTCAACGGGCGACGGGCTTCGCCAGGGAGTGTACGAGAACTTCCGCCGGGAGCTGGAGATGAGCACCACCAACAGCGAGAACTTGGAGGAGGCCAGCTCTGCCCTCAGCGACGAGCAGAGCAGCGGCACCCTCAGCTCCCCGGGGCAGTCTGACATCCTCCTGACAGCTGCCCAGGGCACGGTACGGAAAGCCGGCGCTCTGGCAGTGAAGAACTTCCTGGTGCACAAAAAGAACAAGAAAGTGGAGTCGGCCACACGCAGGAAATGGAAGCACTACTGGGTTTCTCTGAAAGGTACAGAGCAAGCGTGCAAGGGTTTACCCAGACGGGCGTCCGTGGTGTCATGGGAGTTGTATATCGCTGCAGATGGAGAAACCAATAGCCTAGACTCTTAACAAAAGCTGCTGTGAACTTCAGTATAATTAACACCAAGTATGAGGAAGTGATCCTGATATTTTTCCAAGGGGGGTTCTATTTGATGGTTGTTGATGTGCTCACATGATGGCATGCGCGTAGTCCAAGACACGTGACTGTGCTGCACTGAAGTGAGGTTCACACCTCGCTTCAAGTCCTGCTGGCACTACCTAGGGCAGCTTCCCTGAGCACTGGGTGTTTCCTGTAAGAAGCATGTCTATGGCTGGCTGACAAACTAAACACCTGTGTGCAGCCGCAGGCACGTGGCTGTGGGCGTTTGCTAGCGATGACGCCGGCACGCGTTCAGACGGGGGCTCTGTCTTCGTGTGCATTCCTCTTGTAACGCTCGTGCTTGGCGCCGTTGCCCTCTCCTTCCCTGAGATGAGCTTCTGGAGTATGAACACCCAGCGAGCTGCAGCGCGTTCGCGGTGTGGACAGGAAGCCGTAGTTTGGTCATTGAGGCTGGCTTGTGACTTGGGAGACGTTGGCTCTGGCTGCGTCACCCATCTTGCGGTGGGCAGCCCTCGGCACCCGGCCGCCCTGCTGGCCTCCTCGGCTGCCCGGGCCACAGACCCCTGTCTCTGAATTTTTGCAGTTCCTGTTAGGAGTGTGCTCCAGCCCCGTTCGGGGTCTGAGTGCTTATCAATGCACGTAAGCGTTAATGCGGCAGCGAAACCCAGGAGCTGGCCTCCGGGAGGGACCCCTAATTAATCTCCATGCGCTTGCCTCAGCCGTGAAACGGGAAGCAGCGCTTGCGGCGTTTTGTGACCGGCCTCGCTATCCTCCCCTGCGAGCGGCCTGGTCTGTGAGCCGGGGCAGGCAGAGCCTTGTCTCCTGCTCTAGGTGGGATTACCAAAAAGCTCAGCATAGTTAAAGCCCTGTACCCCTGTCCTCCCCACAGAGTGCTTTTTTTTAAGAGTTTTTTTTGGTTGGGGTTTTTTTTTTTTTTGTTGTTTAATTTGCAGCACTATTTTAAAGCCAGCAGCAAAGTTAGGTGCCAGCTCTTCCTTGGGGTGTTTAGAGAGATTGGGGAAATGAAGGAGGGGGCAGGGGGGAGCCCCAATCTCCTGGGAGGGGGCCCCTGCGGCAGGAAGGTCTCGCTGTGAGGAGCAGGCAAACAAAGGGCCATCTGGGAGGAAAAGGGGGAAGGATGAGCACGGAGGCAATGTTATTTTAAAGTGCTTTGACTCAAGTGGAGTGTTTGCTCCCTCGATTGCTGTGCCTTAATAATGTTAGTCTTTAAACGAGGCTTTGAAGTTAACAGCTGCTATTGTTTGGCTGCAAATAGTATTCTGAGAGGCTGGGTAACAGGGCATCCCTTTGCTCTCAGAGGGCTGGTTCCAGGGGTAGAGAAACAATGTACCGGTTTTAGTGTAAAACAACAGTGGATCATGTGGGAAGGTGGGGGAGAGAGGAGGAGACCCTTTTTTTCGGGTCTCCCAAATTGCAGGCTTGCTATACCTCTCCCCGCGACCCCGAGAATTGTAAAGATTATTTTGTAAAACCAAGCAGGCTGGTTGCTGTCCCCAGCTAAAATGCGTTTTTGGTTTTGGCCGTATCGCCGTGAGTCAGAGGTGACACATTATAGTGGAACAAGGATTTGGTTTATGCGTTTTGTTTGTTTGTTGGGTTTTTCTGTACATCAGTCTTTCAGTGAGCACAGCTCATTCCGGTTCCCTTTTTTTTTCCCCCAGTTACTCATCTGCATTCAGTAATTAAATCGCTTGATCTTTGCCTTGCAGGGACCGTAGCAGCTAGCAGCTGCAGGAGGCTCAGGCAGGGCCGTGGAGGTTTGCCTGCGGGCCTGTCTGCTCGGCGGGGCTGGCTCGCAGCTGCCCCGCACCCCCAGGAGAGCCACGCTCTCACGCCTGCCTCTTCCTTTCGGTCCCCTCAGCAGGACCGGGTGGCCGTGGAGGACCCCCACTTTGGGACTTAACGATAATGTTTCTCATCTGGGGCTGTATTTTACTGCCCGTGACTTTCTTGCCTCGTGTCTGCGTCTCTGTTTTAGCAATCCTAGAGCGAACAAAATGGCCTGCTGGGTCATGCCTTGATCTACCGTACAGCTTGTGCTGTGCACCCATGGCGTGGAAACCACCACCCTGTGAGCCTAAAAACTGGGCCATTGTTGGTGTTCTCGGCTGTGGGGCTGAAAACCTGAATGGGCCCCGGCAAATCCTCCCTCATCCCTGTGACAGTTTTACAGATGGTTTAGAGTGCCAAGTATTAGTGCCAAATAGATGCAGGATGACTGTTGTGTTTAAATGTGTTGCTTGCTAATACATTATCATGTCTTTTAGGATGCACATTGTTTTTTTATGAGACTGATGGCAGATCTGGCATTGACCACAACAGCATCCCAAAGCATGCTGTCTGGGTGGAAAACAGCATAGTGCAAGCGGTGCCTGAACACCCTAAGAAGGACTTCGTCTTCTGTCTCAGCAACTCCCTTGGGGACGCTTTCCTCTTTCAGGTTGGTCTGGTTTGAGGGTTTTACAAAGTTGCTCTCTTTTTCTGTCTCTGGCCAAGGAGGAAATATTAGCTCTGGTTGAAATCAGTGGAAAAATCCTGTTGACCCCAGTAGGTTTGGGATTTTCCTCAGGCAGCGCTAGAGGAAGGACACGATGTATTCGGTAAATGCCACTCAAGAGACCCCCCACCACGCGTGAATCACTGTCAGATCTGATGTTTTTATCAACTGACAGGATCCTCTTTGTGTAGATGGTTGGAACAAAGTAGTAATTATGAAATATTCTTACATCCCTGTAAAACCTGGGAATTTTGCATGGTTTGACAGCATGCTTATAACACACAGACCAGGCCAGTTACCATGTAGGACATACAGTAGTGAATTAAATGTGCTGTAAAACTATCTGCATCTCATAAGAGACATGTATCAAAGATGGGAGCTTGCGGAGAGGCTCAAGGGGTTTACAAGACCAAGAGGAGTTTGAAGTACAAGGGGGCACGTGGACTTCCAGGTGCTCTCCCAGTGGTGCTGCAGAATCCAGTTACCTCTTGTTCATAGAGACCTTTGTCAACATCTTGCTGTTGCCCAAGAGGAGACTGAAAGTGCATGTCTAGGTTTTTTTAATCAGAAAATAGAAATGTCTGAATTTCACAGGTTATGCTGAAAAGAAATCCAGTACCTACATCAAAGACCATACATTAGCTGACGTGTTTCACTGAAGAAGATTCTGCATTTTGGTAGCTACTGCTTCCCTGAGTGATTTTTAGGTTGGCATTCCACTTTTTTATTGCACGTTGTTACTAATCAAGATGTGACACACTTTTATTTGTAATTACGAGCCTGTGCTGAAGTGGTACCATTTCCTCCTCTTCTGATTCAGTTTTCTTCACCAGAGGAATCCCTTATTTATTTCCCTTTCCAGTGACAATGTATTCAGAGTTTTTTGCCTTCTTAAACCAGAAGCTACTCTGTGGTAGAATGTGCCCCCACATCATCAGTAGGATGTGCCCCCACACCATCACTCCCCTGTACTCCAGAGGAAATCTTTAAAATTACACTGTCTCCTAGGTCCTTGCAGCTGTCCTAAACAAGGTGCTAGATTCTCAAAGCACTGCAAAATAAAAAATCCTTACTGACTCAAAGGAAGTGGTGCTGGCTTTCAGCTTGGAGCTACTGAGTATCTGACTGCATACCGAAAAAAAGATCTTTTTTTTGCGCACTAGCTTCTCTGCCACCTTGGTCTGATTTTTCCTCAGCACATAGCATAATATTGTGCTGACCCTTTCTACTTCAGGCCTGTCCTGGGCAGGGTACATGTTTTTTGCCACCTGGAGAGCCTCACTGAGGAGGTAAGTGTGATGCTGATGGTCTCAGTGCGCGCTTGAAAGGTTGTGGAGCACCAGCTCATCTCGATCTACTGATATGAGCTGTATAAATCTTTTCCACACAGTTTTCTAAGGAAAAACCCTCATTCTCGTAAAATTAGTCCAGTGGATGCTAAATACTGAAAAGGTCACATTCAGTACATTTCTTTTGTGGCGACACAGGACATTATTCATTAAAAGCCCTGGGTCATTATGCCATGGGTAGATTTTCCTGTAACTTTGTGGGAAAAAGCAAAAATGAGCCTTTTCAAATGAAAAACAGTCATTTATATTGCCCTGCAGAAATTTTTCCGTGTCCCTTCTGCCATAGAACACATGCATCGCTAGCGAAGCAGAAGAGAAAGAAGGGGTGGGTTTGGGGAGAAGTGAAGGAGACCAGCTGCAGTGGTGGAAGTAATGTGCGAGTGACTGTGCTGCAGGGCTTGATCTGCTGCACTCAGAGCAGCCGACGTGTGAGTATGGCCGTTCAGCAGTGTTACTTAACTGCTCATGTCATACACGTCCGTCCACACATAACACAGTGCTGTAGTAGCGGTTTTGATGAGAAGAAGCCACAGACCTGCAGAAAACTATTTCTGTCCTGTGAAGACCATGTACTTAGGGAGAAAAATAGGACTGCTTTGTAATGCATACAGATATTGGACATCTTGTAACAAGCCTTCCCACTGCATTGCACCTAGAGACATCACATACCTCCTACACGATGATTCCTTGCTCAGTCAGTTCTTATCATGCCTACACAAATCCATTACTTGCAGATGTCACATGCATTTTCCAGGAGCTCAGAGCAGCTTGTGATACCACATACTTACGTATCAGATGTTTGCAGCTTGTTTATGTGGTCCTTTCCGTTGAGAAGCAGAGTGATTCCCCTTGCCTACTCATCTACCAGAAGAGTCTTCAGCTCCTAGAATCCATTCCAGATTCTTTTTTTCCCTCCCTCTCCCCAGGAAGCCATAAAAAACCCTGAATCTAATATTTTAGATAATATTTTAAAATTGCATAAGATAAAAATATGACCTCTTGCTGTTATGATTTTGCTAGGAATTAAAAAAACATACCATCTCATTATAAGTCCAGTGGTGCTCTCTTCTCTACTAGGGGCTAGGTTTCACCACCTGACTATGGGCAAAGTGTCTGCCATTCTGCAAATAGTTTCTCTGTTTTCAGCAGAAATTCCTCATCAAGGGGGGCTCAGCATGTCTTCGGCAGTGGCAATAAGACTTTGTAAGCCCCTATCTATGAATGAGAGCTTGTTAATGCTATTATGAGGAAGCTTGACCAATTTAAGCAATATACTTTGTACAGTGCCAACTGAAGACAAGAAAATTGGGAATAAGAGATTGTTTTTTCCGATGCAGACCTTAGCTTCTGCTTAGGACTTCTAAACTGAGATAAGGAAAGCAATGTCATTCTGGGAGATGTGTGTTTCACCTGCTTCAATACCACAGAAGTTTTGGGAGGTTCAGCCTGAAGTCCAGCCTGTGCATATATGATTTCCAGAGTCGGGCTTCTGTGGGTATCTCTCCTTGGCTTCAGTAAGCCATGTTCTTTGCCATTGGTTGTGACTACCAGGAGAGCAGTGAGGATGACCTTCTTCATCTATGCTAGCAACTGGAAAAGTCATACTGTGCTGTCTATTAATAGATCAGGTATCATCAGAAAGTTTAATTAGAACAAGGTGGTTTGCACCTTGCTACTTTTTCAGCCAAGAGCCAAATACCAGTGTGATTATTGATAAAGGCTGACACTCAGAAAGTTTGCTGCAACTCTGAGTTGGCTGTAAATTTTGTTTTACAACCTACTGTAAAAAGGAATGAAATTTAGTAAGAAGGCTGAGAAGATTTACTTTTTATTTTGAAAGCCTGGAAAGGGAACACTTTGAAATACTCTTTTTTCTGTGTCAAAAGCCTCTAATCAGAATAGTGCTCTTCCAGAAAAATCTACTGGTGTCCCATGCCTCAGCCTAATATCTCATAGAATTGTTTGGGTTGGAAGGGACCTTAAAGGTCATCTAGTTCCAACCCCCCAGCCATGGGAAGGGATACCTGTTGCTCAAAGCCTCATCCAACATGGCCTTGGAATGCTTCCAGGGAGGGGAAGCGTTCCCTTTTCCCGAACTGTCACACATGTGCTTGGGAAGGGACAGTACCAGAGCCGTAAAAATTACAATGAGACTGCCTTTAATGATAACAGGATTGTCTTCAGAGTGCTTTGGGACTTTCAGAAGTGGAAAGCTTGTTTATCTATGCATCATAACAAAGCTACTCATAGATATCATGGTGATGTTTTATGCCATTAATTTATTACTAACCACTGCATGTCAAAAAAGCTCTCCATATGGCGAAGAGCACAGAGGCTGGTACGTGCCCTGCCTTAAGGAACTGGGAGTTTGGAAAACGTCATTAAACGTTGAGCTACAAATTATGGCAGCACTGCATTGAACAAGGAAGGTAATTCCTGAGACCTTGCTGGGAAACACTGTACAGCTGCAAAGCACAGATATAGGTGTAATTCTAAGTGCTGAATGCCTAGTGGTGGGTTAAAAATGGCCTGCCTAAGAATGATGGGGTTTCTGTTACTTCTCTCTTAAGTGGATTTAAGGCTTTGAATCTTAAGATCAAAGGGAAAGTAAACTCCTTGGAATTGCATTTGTTAATGTCCAGTCAATTTTAAAGAAGATCCTGACTTCTTTTCGCCCTCTTTTCCTCTCTTCAGACCTCTAGCCAGACCGAACTGGAGAACTGGATCACGGCAATCCATTCAGCTTGTGCCACCGCAGTGGCAAGGCAGCACCACAAAGAGGACACCGTCAAGCTCCTGAAAACAGAGATAAAAAAGCTGGAGCAGAAGATTGATATGGATGAGAAGATGAAGAAAATGGGTGAAATGCAGCTGTCCTCAGTAACGGACTCCAAGAAAAAGAAGACCATACTGGATCAAGTAATCTTGCTTGCTTATGTGAAATAAGCCCCTAGCAAATATTTAAGGCCTTCTTCAGATTAGCGGTACCTCTGTATGCTCCCACTGTGCCATGCGTGTGCACTGGCAGAGCTCCCCAGAGCAGGCGGGACGTGTGTTGGCAGGAGAGCTGTGCTGGCTGCCCTAGTTGCACCATTTCTGCAAACAACGTGCACTAAGGTACAGCATGTCTTCTCCTGACCTCCAAAGCCAGGGATTTGGCTAGCCGCTCGGAGGTTGAGTGGAGGCTTTAGGGGAGTGAAGAGGCTACCAGGCCATGGCAGCAGGATGCATTAGGGAAGAGCTGGTCATAGACTCACAAATGCTGCTGTTGCTGTTCTCTTAAGCATGGAAGAGGCTGGGTCTTCTGCTGGCAG